GCACTGTTCACGATTGCAATCATCCATGTGCTTTATCTGATCCCATTCCTGGACACTTTTGCGGCGTTGGCTTCACATGCTGATGTGAGCGGCGCATTGGCGGATGATAAAACGTTTCGTGTGAGACATCTTATCGATACGCTTGCTGATGTAAGTATCTATTGAATAGTCTGAACAAATCCCTCCTCCCCCTCTCCCCCACTGCAAAAGTGAAAATATTTCACAAATTAAAAAATGAATATAGGACAGGTTAGGCGGGCTTTCTTATTGGAACGGATTAGACAGGCGAAAAATTTCGCGGTGTTGAGTCCTGTCAAATCGATGTTGAGTTAAGGCATATATGAGTTAAGGGACCGAGACGTTATATCTCACTCTTATGCCCTTCTCCTATATGGTGTTCTCTGGTGCCTTTGCCATTTAGGCTTCCAGGGTCAACCTGTTTGCCACAATCTGCTTATTATAAAAAAGTTTATTTGTTGTGTTCTGTGCCTAGTGTGTAGTATGTGTTAGCTAAAAAGCGGTAATAGGATGACTTGGAGGATTCGTGTCGCAGCTTTATCCATAGGTGACAAACAAGAAAATGCTTCTTAAAAATTTATCTGCTAAAACTGATATTTTGATCAGGAAGAACGCATACCGATTTTTACAATACTTTGGAAGATTTTCCTTGTTGATTGGTTTATTAATAACGTTGTAGTCTAAAGTCCAGAGAAAAATTAGGTTGCAAGTAAAAAACACTGATAAATAATTTTTAAAGATATTGACAAATCAAAATTTTCTAAAAAATCTGAAACAAACCGTCATATACTAGAAGGGTGCTAAACTTCAACTTCAAAACATAACCTCCCATGGAACTTCTTTATTCAGATTTTAGAAAATCTTATCGAATTTAGTTAACTGTATAAATTGAAAAAATTTTTATGTTGCAGTACAAGAAAAATATGTGGATAATTGTGGGTAATATGTGCATTACATTGTCCACTTCGTGCTTCATATTGCTCCTCAGTACTTCATCACCGAAACTTGTTTATGACATTGCTGTAAGTTACGCTTAATCTCCAACAGTCAT